AAAGTCAAGGTACGAGGATAAATACTCTTAATTACTTGAGCTAGATCATAAACCACGGCTTCTCTCAACTTTGATATCCTACTGAGGAGTTGATATTTAAAGAGTCTATAACTGGTCCATGAGGGGCAATCTGAATGTGCCACATCGTGTGAAAAAAAGGCTATCTTTGAGCTAACTAGTACTTTTTTCCACATAGTATCAATAAGGTATTTGAGCACCCAAATCAACCTCAATTGCAAGCTGTGTGTGTGTTGATTGCGTGAAAAAGGCTCATGTGGTACTCCTTGAAATTGTGTAGACTTTGCGTGAGAAACATTAGCATGCTGCTGCATAATAAGCAGATGTGATTGTCCAGCTGCAAAGGCTGATTGAATTTGCTGGTCCCATATATGGCATTGTCAAGGCCTAACTCAGATGTGCTTTAATTGAATTACTTTGCATCATTGCATGTCAATCAGTCGTTTTGCCTAATTTGATGTGTTCTGTGTGTACATGCCTTAAACGACAAAGATTTAGCAAATCAGTTGGAGAACTTCAATCACCTAGTCATTGGCAGAACTAGGCCAATGGAACATAAATTATTGGCCTCACATATCTGAGAGAGAGAGAGAGAGAGAGAGAAGAAAAACTTCTGTAAGGTTACATGTGTCACGTTGCAGTGCTAATGATTTTATCTCATTGAGTGTTAATCATATATGCATCACTTATCACATCATGTGGTACACAACTGTAGTTTCATTGACATTACAATATCGTCACAGACAATGAAATCCTTCAATATTGTAGTGTTATCAATCTATCCATGTTACATTAAACTTTAATTTCAAGAAATATCAATTTTGTCACCCATTTATGTTTGAACACCTGAATTCATGAGTTTTTCGTACACAAGTTTTCTTTGATAGAGAAAGCAAAGAAATAGCTACTAGGCCCAAGCTCGAATGACATGTTCATATCAAGGATCAGAAGGAATCTATTTGGTCCATCATAACACATTGGTCAACATTGATTTTGAGTCTTCACCAACCAAATCAAGGAAATTTCGTAGGCCCTCTAGCGCCATATGACACATGACCAGGAACTATCTTAGCCTTGGTCTAATCAGCTCTACATCATTATATAGGATAGGTTTACCTAATATGGTTCAATTAACCAGCCACCTATTGAATAATTTTTAGAGTTACCTAATAATATCATAAAGGGTCCTTTTCAATGAGGTATAACTCAATGAAAAAAGACCTTGATTTGTAGATCAATGGTCTCGATGGTTTGTGACCCAAGAAATTGGCCACAATTGATATTGATGCCATAAGGTCAGGTGGGTTCCATAACCCACACATAGAGCAAAGAATTGAGGACCCTGGGATTGATGGGATAAATATCTCTGGTGCTGAGAAAGAAAATACATAATATAAAGTAGGAAATGCAAAAGCCATGAAAGCAGCAAAGTCGATGCCTATGAAACTCCAAAAAAAAATAAAAAATTCTTCTTTTAGACTTTTGCCAAAGAAATATGATTGATTAGAAGAGAAGGCAAGGGAAAAGAAAAAGGTAGCTCCTCCTAACTCATACCTCATATGAGATATACAGTGTGGGTTTTAAGGTGGGGACCTCATTTTTGCTTAGAACTTTCCAAGATGAGGACTTGTCATGGGAATGTTTTTTTTATTTTTTATTTTTTATTTTTCTGCATCTCCAAAAAAATCATTGCATCTGCCCATATATGCACTGAGAAAATGCTTTTGACCAGGCAATTGAAACCCATCAGTTTCAGTTTAAGAACTTAAAAGAGATGAATTTTTCTGGGTTGAAACTTGAAATCAAATCAACCCATTAAGCCATTAACAAAAGTTTTGTAGGCATTCAAGTTGTAAGCTTGTGAAAACAGAATCAAAATCTTGAGGAGGGTCCAGCAAGTTAACAGTGTAAGATAAGGCAAAACGTGTGTGGGGGGTCCTATGATCTTTGCAGGGAAGAAAATGTGTCACCACATGGCTGGAACTTATTGAAACTTTGGCTTGGACCCTCTTCACATTCTGGTCCTTGGATCCAACCCAAGTGTGTGTTTGACCAAAAGTCAGAGCCTTTTCAGGGCTTGGTGACCAAAAGTCACCACACTAGTTAGAAATATTGGGATTGTGTCAATCTTGCTAGGCTTCGGCCCCCCTTCTTTATCTCCTTCTTTTGGGGACCTTTGAATCCAAACAAGGATAGAGGATAGGGATACCCCCATTAGCCCATTTGGATTAAAAAAAAGAGAGAAAAGGGGGACCTCAGGCTCAGGCCGACAGAGTGGCGAAAAAGTTTATATCACGGCGATTACATTGTTTTGATATCCCAAATAGGTTTTTTTTTTAAGGAGAATAGCAAAAGAATACTATCTTGTGATACACAAGTTCTAGTTGATAGAGTAGGGGTGGGGGAAGGTAGGGTGTTGGTCAAAATCAGTAGGGCCCTCCCTCCAATGGAAGTTTCTGGTGAGGGTGAGATATAAAGGCAAAGGCTGCCCACTTCTATACTGCACCGAGTTTGATATTGCTCCTCCAGGACCTGTCTTTGTCTTTGACAATGTGCTTGCAGCTTTTCCACTCTCTGGTCTTGCTAGTTTTGTGTGATTCATTTTTAGCTTAGTTGCTTCACAGTGAGAATGAGTGACCCCATCGAACATGGTTAAAATCACTGCTGTTGCTTTTGTTCCAGCCTTTCTGTGGGCTGGGAATGGGCCTGCCGGCCAATTGCTCAACCCTGTCCAGCTGCTAATAAGATTCTTTAAAAAAACATTTTGGGTTGGTTTGATAACTAGTTCGTTTTCTCTTCTCAGTTTTGGGTTTCAGTTGAAGAAAGGGGTAGTATGAGAAAGAAGGGAATAGGAAGGAGAAGGCATGCAAGAGGAATGCAGGAAGAGAAACTATAATAGAATGCTACAAAAATGAAAGCTAAAAGCAATTTCAAATAGTTCTTCTTTTCAAGTTTTGTTTCATACATTCTTCTTCATTTCTCCATCCTTTCCTTTCTTCTCTCTTATATTTTTCCTCTTTTTTCACATATCTTGTTTTAAATTTTGACCAATATCAAATCTATTGTTTTTTTATATAGTAAAAGCGATAGTCTGGGGGAATTTCTCACACACTAACACAACTAAAATGTCATGGAGGTTCAAACTTGAGACCTCTTGTTTACAGGTCAAGATCCTTTTTTAATTGGGCTAGACCCAGTTGACCTCAGATCTATTGTTTTATACATAATGTTCTGGACCTTTTGGAGAGGGCTTTCTTGTTGGTTCAACATGGTGGGCCATGTTTTCTTGGTCAGTCCTCTAATCCAGTAATCTGTTTTGGGCCACTCAACTCAGACATTTGCATTGTCTTTTGGTTTGCTTAGCCTTATCAGATGAGGAAAAATAAAAAACCAATCCTTGTTCTCTCAAACTCGCATATTTGCATGTGTTTCTTTTAGTAAAAGAAATGTGAAAAGTAGAGATGTGGGTTAAGTACCCTACTCGTAAACTAAGAGTAATTTAAAGGGACATTCACTATTATACCCGATATATCGCTTTGTCAAGCCAAAAAAGTCCCCGTGATTAGATAATACCCTTCTTCTTCATCATCAATCAAACAATTCCAAGCCGCATAAGCATTCAAAAGGGAGGAAGAATTTAGCCAGCTTAGAATTCGAGACATTCTAGCGCCCCTTCATAATATGGCTGAGGTAGATAGATGCATGATGAACTAATATCTTGAAAAGGAAAGAGCCTCTATGCACAATGAAAGAGACAGATCTTCACCAAATATTCCCATCTTTTTTTAGTTCTCATTTTGTCTAAGATTCTGTTTACGCTCAATATGGATTGGATGATGAGAAGAAAATAGAGCAACTAGCAAGAACAACGATCAAACGCAATTCTGTTTTCAGCAAAAAGGACACAACACAAGGGATCAGAACAGGAGAAAACAAGCGAGGCTTCAACCGGCAATTTCAAGCTAATCGTTTAGTGATCTTCGAAAGAACATCTTGATAAGTAGCTCTTTGCCTGATAATCAAAACTCTTAATGAAGTTGGTCATTATGATTCGAAACATGAACCTATCTGCGGTTGAACTTGGTAATGAAATGAGGGTCATAATTTTTGATCAACCAACCAATAATAACAATTAGAAAAGAATGGGTGGCCAAATGCACAAGGCTCTCCTGCCAATATGGGGTTTGGAGAGGGCAAGAAATATGCAGCCATACCTTTAATTTTCAGAGAGGCTGTTTTGGCAGAACATTCCCTAAAGCAATTGTTTCTGACACATGAAACAAATAACCTCTCACTTATGCACTCTACTTTCATAGATATAAACACATGGAGATGCATCTTTGTTCCCTTCTACAAAAGTCAACAGTGGGAGATAAAGAGGACACCACATGGAAGATCAAGACTGTAAAGGATAATTGAGCTTAGAAACAAGTGATGAGCGACGAAGACATTTCGAAAAGATGTTGATCATGCCGAAAGGGGGAAATGCAATCTTGACCTGTGAAATATCAACCTCTCATGGATTATCAACTAGGATAGGGTGTATGACTCGGTTCTTGTTCTTTTCAGGGAAGTGGATAAGATGACTTGACTTGATGAGCATGTTGCTGCCATTAAGTTGACGATAACTCACGATATAATTTAAGCAGCAAGCAACCAGAAAAAAATAGATCCACAGCAATATAAAGATTGCAAGGGACAAAATACTATATCCACAACTGAAACCAGAAAAAATGAGAAGTGCAAAACAGGTGAGCGTCCCTTTCAAAAGGAAGGGCCATATTTTTGTCGCTCAGAGATATCCACAAGGAAGGAAGGAACAAAGATCAAATTGGTATTTTGGTGTCAAACTATAGATACTCAAAAGTCATCAAATCTTTATAAAACCAAAAACATAATCCGTCTCTAAACAGAACAAGAAGAATGAAAAATAATTAAACTGAAGTGGCAAATGACACCAAAACATGATCATTGATTTCATATTGAACAACAAGAAGAATAGGTATGAAAAATGAGGAGAAACAATGAATTAGAACGAGAAAACTACCATCTAATATATGCAAAAACAATCACCCACATACCACCAAATCATGCAAAAACGAACAAAAAATTACCCAAATTAAGAACAAATTGGTGACAAACAAGAGCCCTCCTTTCTTCATACGCCAAGAGCAATCACCAAGCAAGCACCCAAAAGCGTGGGAAACCACAGAGACCTATACACCCACATCCAAAGCCAAGCCACCCAATAGAACATGACCCAAATTCTCACTTCTGATCATTAAGACATTCCCTTGCCAAATGCCCTTCCTCTCCGCAATTATAACACCCACGGCTACCGCCGCCTGCACGGCTACCGTATCCTCGACCAGCACCGCCAAATCTTCCACCACCGCCGCCGCCCTGAATACACTCCCTAGCCAAATGCCCAATTCCGCCGCAATTGTAGCACTCGCCACCGCCGCGACCACCGCCGTAACCACCACTATAACCGCGACCCCTCCCGCCGCCTCTCCCGACATCATACCCTCCAACGAACCTTCCATAACCACCACGCCCGCCACCTCCATCGCCTACCCCTCTCCCGCCATAACTGCCACCCCTCCCGCCAAAACGGCCACGTCCACGACCGCGGTCAAAGCCGGGACCGCGGGATCGGGCGATAGCGGCGACGACGTCGATGGCTTTGGTGCGTCCGTCTTCGCCGAATTCAACGAGGAAATCGACGGGCTGGCCCTCCGAGAGGGTCCGGAAGCCGTCGGATTGGATCGAGGTCTGGTGGACGAAGAGATCTTCGGTGCCGTCGTCGGGGGCGATGAAGCCGAACCCCTTCTGCGCGCTGAACCACTTGACTGTACCCGTGGATCTCGCGGTGTCCTCCATGGATGAGAAGGATCTAGAAGCTTCCTTTTTCTGAAGCTTTTATATATTTTTTGTTTTTGGTTTTTCAGTTATTGCCGGTGGCGGGGACTAACTGATCTGTTGGGGAGTCTCAGTCTCGAGTGCCCCTCTCTCCTCTGCTGCTTGCTGCTGCTGCTTTTTCATTGTTGGGTGGGAATTAGGGGAAGTTATGTGGGATCCGCGTTGGTTTTCTCGTCCATACGTTGCCTGCCACTTGGCAGACGAAAGTAGAGTACTTTTGGTTTTATCCAATTATCCATTTAGAGTTTTACACGTCAGCTTTGAAGTTTGGAAGAACTAACCAAAGCAAAGAGTTCTTGAACAAAAAAAATAAAAAATCAAAGCAAAGAGCCCCACTCTTGAGTAGGCGTGGGCACGGTCCGGTTTGGTCCGGTTTGACCCTCAAACCACGGCCGAACCAATTACATTTTCACGGTCCGGTGTGGTTCGGTTTCACCTAAAATCAAAATGAAAACCAAACCAAACCAAACCATTCATAACCGGTTTGGTGCGGTTTGGTTCGGCCGGTTTAGGCATAAAACAACATGTCTTCCAGTAACATGCAAATCTTGCCAAAGTAGAACAAAGTTAACATGCAAATCTTGCCAAAGTAGAACAAAGTTAACATGGTTAGTTTCTTTAGGTATTTTCTTTCATTTCTTTAAAGTGGTTAATTTTGCATAATATATTTTGTGATTTCATTCTGATAGTTTAATTTTGTGGTGAATATATTATTCAGCGCCCACCACATCATCATTCTCTGCTCTGGCGTGGTGTCTGTGTGGTAGAAGGGTTGGACATAAGACATGACAGTTCGACATCGTACAGAATCTTCATTCTCCAATCAAATCAGAAACTCTGTCCACTATACATGTCTTTGCATGATGACCACTAACATGCACATCCAGTTTTTAAAAAATTATTTTCACAAAAAGTGCAGTCTCTTCCATTTTTCATCCTCAAACATGAACCCTTCGTTATCGTGTACCATATTCAACAATGGCCTTTTCTTTTTTCTTTGTTTCTACCAATCAACCAAAGTGAAGGTGTTTCCTTGATTGATTCGTGCGTTATTGTAAATAGTTTTATTGCTTTAATTTTGTGTATTTATCAGACTTTTTGATTTTTTTTTTTTTTAATACAAACGATTTTGTAAGAGAAGAAAATCGAATTTATTGCATGGTAAATGTGGTAGGTAATGGGGATCTGCCTTCTTTTGCTTGCTAGAACCTATGGTGTGGTTGGAAGAACAGAAGCAAATAGGAAAGATATGAAAATGAAGAACGATAAGGCTAATTGAGGAAACGTAGGCCACTAAGCATGTGAAACACTACTCCACCAATGTTCCACTTACACGAAAATAGGAAGAGATAAAATGCAACCCGGAAGAAATTAAAAATTACATAGAATTCTAAAATGACGGAATTTAGATTTCTATCATTTCAATTTCTAGCAATTGAATATTTCAGTGTTTGGATTTATGTATGTCAAATTTTGTAAATGGAACTATGGAAATTGTGAAATGAGACCTATTTTGGTGGAAATTAAACTTAGGAATTTGATGGCTCAATTTCCACGCGTCATATAATAAATTCCACACTTAATTTACCAAACAAGGGAATTGTCAAATTCTCCTCTTAAATTCCGAGTTATTTTTCGCTCATTCAAACGGAGGGTAAGAGTTCTAAACTACCTTACAAATTAAAAACTTATTAAAGATATTCTTAAACTAGGTAACTTAACAACTAAAATAATTAACACACATAACAACATCCTCCTAATTATTTGAACTACAACGTTTTTGCTCTTTGATCCTTTTATACTTGAAGAAATGTGTGGCAATTGTTGACATATAACACAATTTTGAACTCGATGTGCAGTTAGCAATTTTGATTTATTAATTTTTCGACACGAACATGAGTATCGTTCTAACTTAGGGTTAGCTTCAAAGCCGAGCAACTTGATTTTGGCATGACAAAACACATTTCTTGTGTAGTATTATATGAGGAAAATGAAGAATGTTTTTCATCTTTAAATGTTTATTATCTAAGCAATTGTATGATTATCTGATTGTTTTTACAATTTTGTTAGTATCACAACGACGTTGGTTGTTATTTTATAAGTTACGTATTTTTTAGTACAAGCGATTGGGGGAGTAAGATTTCTCTCACACACACAACTATGATGTCATGGGGGTTCCAACCTGAGACCTCTAATCTACAAGTAAAGGCTCTTTTTCTACTAGGCTAGACCCCGTTGGCTTTATTAGTTACGTATTAGTGATAGGATATGCATGATTTAGGAATAAATGAGACTTAGTGTTAAGGTGTTAGTTTATAATGTATGTCGCAATCCAAATAGGACGCAATTATTAACGAATTTGGTTTAGTGTTATGTTGAGTATTTCAACATGATTGATCAAATATGTCAAGTTAGAATTTACACGAATTTGAAATGACACAACACCAAGATGACCAATTAACCCAAATTGCCATCGTATCTTAAATTGTCTAGAAATGAAATATGTTGGCTCAAAAATAAAAATCAAAAGGAGAAGTGTGGATAAGGAGAAATAGGTAATTTACAATTTTACATACGTTAAGAAATTGTAGAATAAGTCAATTAAATGGTCAACCCAATAAATTTGAAAACCGAAAAAAATAATAAAATAAGGAACAAAAATTTTATTGGCCTATTAAAAGTTCACGTAGCAAAAATCAAACTTGTGAAGTGCATCGGTGCCGTGCCTGAAAATCCCAAAAACCCATCTGATCCCAAAGCCTCTCTTCATCCGCTCAACCATTCAAAACCTTCGCTTTCATTCTCTGACTTCTACTTTGAATTCCCACAATCCCTGTTTTTTTCTTTTCTCTTTGTTTATATTTGTTTTCCTTTGAACTTCGCCCATTGCCGCCGTCCTCACCTCTCTGGCCTCTGTTGAAGACGAAACTCGCAAACCCAATTCACGGTTTTGAATCTGGACACCTTTTGCCGCGTCCACAGAGTCACTGGTACCTTCATAAACATTCCTTTTTTCTCTTTTTCTGCAAATCAAACTGTATTTTAATCTTACAAGTTCTCTGATTTTGCCTTTTTCTTTAACTTTCTATTTTCAGCTTGTATGTATTTTACTTCAACACGTTTCTCATGCACTTTAAAGCTGTGTTGGAGGAATCTGGCATTGTTTGATAAATCTAGAAGCTGAAAAGTTTCACTTTTTAAAACTAGTTTTTGCTTAATTAAATAGTTCACAACCAGTCAAAATGAAATTGTTTTGCTTTTTCGATATTTTATATTTTGGGTTCTTTAGTGGAGGACACGTCTTTAAAGATACAGCTTTTGGAGCTCTTTATCAACTGATTTTGGTATGATGTTCTAAACCAACTTTATATTGGGTCCCTACTCATTCAAATTGTTACCCAATAGTGTAAAGCAACAAACTTGATTTGTTTTCTGTATTGAAATCAATTGGATTCTAGAGCACAAAATGTTGATTTCATGCTTAGAAATTAGGTGGAAGAAATTTGGTTTCAATATTGGTTATTGGTCAGAAAAATTATTGGGTGCTGGGTTTTGTTCTGTTTGGACATCTTCAGAGTGTGTGGGTCCCGGTCAGGCTTTTGAAGAACATTTTGTGATTTGTTTGGTACCGAGTTCTACTTTATGATTTCATTAGTTGGTAGCTCTTGCATTGGCTGTTTGTAGGTGTTGACGAAAAAGTTGAGAAAATTATTGTACAAACAAGATTCTGTAGTGTAACTGTGCTGCTCCAGTGCTTATAAATAGTTTTCATCTGTACCCTTCTACATCAGTTGGCTTATAACTTGAGGCCCTTTTGAACATGTATGCAAAAAATGATTTAACCTTTGACCTATAGGTTTCTGTAACTGTACTGCTCAGTGCTAGAGGTCTCTGTAACTTGTGGATAAGAAAAATTCAGTCCAATTGTTTAAAAATAAAAAAAATCTGTGACATCATTCTTTCATTCTACAATCTTGATATGCAAAGTAATTAATATTATCTGAATGAATCTGTTTAGGTCCAGAGGTTGTATTATTGTCGAATTCTGTGGACATCTTGAAGAATTGTTTTTGTCTCTTTCGTTCACTCATGTCATGGCTGGCTGAGCTTATGCGTGAGGCGCTGGCGCTGTCAATGAATATCATATGTACTTTTTTATTTCGAAGATTTGACGTTTTCTTATAAGAGCTGAAGTATACAAATGTTTGATTGTCTTTGAAAAATAGAGTGGTTGGCATTCGCTTGCACAGTACAAATTATGGCACTTCAACATTAGTAGCAGCAGTAATTGCATCATTTTCTATCCTACGTTTGTTCCTCTGTTCTTTAGCTTTTCTGAATCAACATTCTGATTTTATTGCTGTTTTCCGAAGTCACCCCAAGAGGAATAAAGTGCAACGGTTATGGAGGGAGGGTACCGTGGGACTAATGACTCTGAACTCAGACGAAGTGTATCAAATGATCGAACAAGCAGTGCTACTTCTTCATTAAGGAGGCGTTCTTTAAGTTTATCAGGTGCTCAGCCTTCCCAAATAGATGATGACATTGAAAGTGAGCGTGTTTCAGAGGCAGGAGATATAGGGGATCGGGCTCTTCACAGCAACAGGCACAGTGAGAGTGGCAGCATCCGCTTGTTGCCTTCAGAGGACATTCAACTGCAATCCTATGGGTTCTGGTGTCGTGATCCGGTTACATCCACTGCAATATCCCCTGTCTCACCCTTGCCAGAGGAAATCGTATCTCCTCTTTCCACTGATGCAGTCGTATGCCATGAGGACAAAAAGCAAGTGAGCTTTTGGTTTGCATCTTCATTGATATTTCTTTTTAATTTTTAGTCAGATCATGCTAGTAACTTAGATTATTGTGTTTTTATATGCAGGAAACTACAACAAAGTTGCCAAAATTGTTGGAGTATGGTTCATGTATGACTCATTTAGCCGTTTTTGGCATTCTTGGGGTAACAGACTTAACTATGTTTCGAATATATACCAAAGTGCATTTTCTTTGAATCCTAATATCTGTTGAGTTTATAGCTGCTATTACCTCTGTTTGACAAAAGTTGGATCTTAAGATCCTTGTGCAAGAATGCACTGACCACATCCATTCTGGTCTTTATAATTCAGATAACTAGATCTTATCATGCTGTACAAACTTTTTTCTTGCTAAAAATAGTTTTTGGAAGAAAATCTGTGTCTAAATGGATTTGCTCATACTGATCAAATTGTATCTGGTGTATCTTTATTATATTGTTAAACTGTAATTTAAAACATTAACAATTTTGATCATGCTTTGGCAGGTTGGAATTTCTGTTTCTCTTGGCAAGAATGAATTTGTCATTGAAAACAATTTGTTAGATATTAATTTATTAATTTCATATATGGGAACCTACTTGTCAAATAGATTATTTGACATGCTACAGTCTGCAGGTGTTAACGAGATATCTGCTGCAAAAGTTGTTTGGCCCTGGAGTTGTTGGTGTAACAAGCAACCAAACCATTCTCTACCTCGACCTTCCTTCTAATATGGTTTCTCTCTCTCTCTCTCTCTCTCTCTCTCTCTCTCTCTCTCTCTCTCTCTCTCACACACACACACACACACACACACACCCAACCCCTTTATTCGGGAATATTTTGTTGATAAACATTTATGCCATATATACTTGGTTGATTGTGAGTATTGAGGGACTTATTTGCACATTGTATGACGATTAATGAAGTTTTTGTCCATCATCTTGTCACTTTTGATGTCATATTTCTTAGGATAGTGGTATGGATAATGTTCGATGATGTTCTAATGCAAATTATTTTCCTGAACATTTTTGAAGGTTGGTTCTTTCTTGATGGGGTGGTTTGGTGTTGTTTTCAAAGGAGATATTTCATATGTGTCAGATCATTTGGCCATTGGATTAACAACCGGTTACTTGGGAAGCCTTACAACTTTCAGTGGGTGGAACCAGAAAATGCTTGAACTCAGTGTTGAAGGCCATTGGGTTTTTGTTCTGCTGGGTTTCTTAATAGGTAAGATGTCGTATAAAGAATATGCTGTAGTAGACATGTAGATGGCTATGGCAAGCAGGGTTTTGAATTTCATTTCTACGGGTGGTTTCCTGCTTTGAGCCTATTTGTAACTCATCCATGGACAAACCCATCTAGCTCAAATGGCTGCAAGTCTGCGACTAATACAAGCTTCTCTTTAATGTGATTGATTTCAGGTCTGTTTCTTGCGGCCTACTCCATCATTGTTGGGGTAGAGACAGCTAAGGGTTTGAGGCAGCTTCTTGAAAGGAGTTCAGGATGTGGTATAACTAGCTCTGGCACGAGCTGGAGGGTCGACAGCCACAAGCGTCACTTGGTAGTTTTAGCTGTGTTTTCGCTGATGCTAGTTTCTCTATGGAGTGTAAGTGGAGTATTGCTAAGGGAGGAGTTTAGCAGTGACAGCAGTGAGGCGCAACTATGGTTGGCTTGCATAGTTGGACCTCTAGGTGTGTGGATCAGGTGGTTCTTAGCCAGGCTCAATGGACGTGGATTAGGAAGAATGGGGTTGTTGAAATGGTTTCCATTTGGTACTCTAATTGCCAATGTTTCTGCAGCTTGTGTCATGGCAGCTCTGTCTACTGTGAAGAAAGAGGTAAGGTCTCGTGATATGATATCTGTCCAGATCCACTTCGTGACTTCATCCTCACCTTTACCTTTTGTGTGTCATTCTATCTTATTCAGAAAGCTTACACTAAACATATATTTGTGACATTATAAACTGCCAACTATGTTACAGTTTTTTGTGTGCTTTCGTCGTTAGTTTGTAGCCTCTTAGCAGAATCTTAGAAGTTTACTCTCTTCTCTGACAAAATTTTGTGTTACCTTCGCCAAGTACACAACTGAGGTTCACTGAGATCTGGGATTTGCCCCGAACTCCACCATAGAGCCAGATGATGTGGATTTATTTTACAGTGTTTGGCAGAAATGTCCAAGTCCCCTCCGAACCATGTGGATTTTATCATTGCTCATTTATCTACTCTTTTTTCTTATCTTTCCACTCTTAATTGCTCTTGTGCTCCATTGGATTGATCCATGCCAATTATAGTTGTCAATACTGCATCGTATTTCATGGCAAAGCTAACGAGTAGGGACTTATTCTGTTTGTGCAGGTGGATACTAAGACGTGTGATATTGTCGCAACAGGCATACAATTTGGATTGCTGGGCTGCCTGAGTACCGTTTCTACCTTCATTGCTGAGTTCAATGCAATGAGAGAAAGCAAATACCCCTGGAGAGCATACACATATGCCATGGTTACGATATGTACCTCGTTTGGTCTGGGGACCCTGATATATTCTGTACCTGTTTGGACAAAGGGGTACAAGTAGCATGCTGGGGACAGCCTTTTGATGCTTCTTCTTCTGCAATGCAATGCCTCCGAGTCATGTTGGCTTCACACAATGTTCAGTCAATCTGAGCATTGAGCGCGTCAAGGGTCTTGCGGAAGGCCTTTTGATGCTGCTTCTTTTGATGGGCTGCCTGAGTACCGTTTCCAACTTCATTGCCGACTTCAATGTAATTTAGATTAAATTAAAGTAGAATATCACTTGTATAAAATATAAAATAAAATAAAAACCCACAAAATTAGATTTGCACCTCTAATTAATCTGTAAATCTTTTAAATGGTAGAAAGATATTTTGCTAAATAATAAAGAATTAGAAGACAAAGATTGAAAAAATGTCCTTGTGTAGTTGTGGACCAATCCGTACATAAACTGGTAGGATTGATAAATAAAATTATTAAAGAGTGGTAACATTTGTGGTCCTTGTGTACTAAGATGTTGTTCATAACCTGTTTTCGAGAGTAAAAAATCAACTGTTTACTTCAGAACAAGTACACTGGAGCAAAATTCAATACCGACGCTGGACAAGGGCAGGAGGTGCGACGCTGGACACATGCAATGAGCTCTTGACAGCTATCACCCACTAAAAATTGGGAAATAAAAAAATTTGTCGCATGCTGCTCCACCATCCTCCCAGTACTCTGCACATCCATGCGGGGTGTCTCTCTGATATTACATGGCAAAGAGACAAAAGCTGATGGTAATTTAACATTTAATTGGAAGAGGTGGTAAGATTTTCAACTTTTGATGAGAACTGAATGTAATGCCTTAGCCTTTATATTTTAAATTTTTATATTGAAGTTTGAACTGATAATATTTATTTATTTTGAATGATAAAATTTTTAATTAACTTGGATATGTTGCTTAACAAATGAGAGTGGGTATAAATTACTCTCTTAATGAAAGGTTATGTTGCTTAACAAGTCTTAACATTTGTGTAGTATTTGTGAATTTAGTATATTATCGCTTCTTATTGCCTCTCTCGATAGGAAATCAAAATCTCATTGCAGTCCCTCAATCACCATTAATTAATATCATTATTTTGGATTAACATGGTACTCACCAACACATACAACTTCCCCAAAACAAAAAGCCAAAAAAAAAAAACTACCACACTGCATAAACTAGTAATGAAAACGACATCACTGAACCCAAATAAACCAGTGAAACACCCGAGTCCTTTATTTTTTAGTTTATTGGGGAATTTTGTTGAGCCTACAATAAACATACTCCCCGTACGTCTTGGTCTTGTATTTAGGTGGATTTTCCTGGTTCACAAGCTGTGGGAGAGGCCCTATTACGTGGTCTGCCGGAGGCTCCAAGAACACTGGCCATGAGATTCTTGTCTTGTCTTTGTTCACTGTGGTTCTGTGCAGCACACCCTTGTACTTTCCATTGCTCATTATCTGCCACAAATTAATTAATTAGTTAATTAATCACTTGGGTTACTCAATCAAGCAAAGACTAAAACAGGCAAGTCGAAGAGAGATGTATAAATGCGTACCTCCATTTGATCACCAATGTGGATGACAAGGGCATTAGGGATGTACTTAACGTCGTACCAGCGGCCATCTCTGCAGGCCTGGAGGCCCTGGACATCGTTGGGGACGAGAATGGTGACGATGGACATGTCGGTGTGAGCCACCACGCCGAGAGCAAGATCCGGGCGGGGACATGGTGGGTAATAATTAATTTTGAGAAGGTAAATCAAGTCATCTCCACCAGAAGCCTTCTTTAACTCTTGTCCTTGAAGCCCCAACCCTAGAGATAGGAGCCTGAGCAGCTTCTCCACCACTTTGTGCATATGCTTAGCATACTCCTCATTAGCTTCCCTGCACCCATCAAAAATTAAAACAAATTAAACCATTAAATTATAGTGTTTTTATCACTTTGTAAATACTTAATCAAACAAATAGAATTTTATTAAATATAAATTCACACTTTTTCATATTAAAAAAAAAAATTAAAAGAAAATTCAGATATTAGCCTAATATATTTATTAAAAAAAAGGTTTGTTATTTTTCCATTTTAGGAAAGAAAAATTGTTTGCTTTTTTCAGATAGGCAACATGCCACGTCTGTATTTTTTGGAAGAGATCTTTCCAACCAGCCAGTCATGAAATGCCACGTGTAGCTTGGTATTCGTAAGTTGAGAAACAGATATTCGGACGGTCTTCATTAAAAGCGAAAGTGACAGTGTGTGGTCCTATCACACAATTTGTCTTTTTGTTGGATAGTTATTTTTTGCATCGTAATTTTCATTTTAGCTTTTTATTATTATATTTTTTCTGCTACTTACTTATAATAATCTTATACATATGTTATATTATTTAGGAAAATTTGCATAAATGCTGCATGAATTTTTAACCGTATGTGCTATTCATTACCACATGAACTTTTAATTTTTACTTTTAAACATCTAAATTTTGTAAAGTATTGCAACGTCTAATTCCGTTAAAGTTTTCATTAAATTAAAGTGTATTTCCGTCAATGAATTATAACTAAAAAATTCGGGTGATATTTATGATGCACATAATTATTTATCGTCATTTCTGGCCAATATCGATCTTTCTTTTGGAACCTATATCTTAATACTACTACCTATAAAAAGAGTAATCAAATATACTTATAATTAAATAGTTAATCTCGATTCACAATCAAATAACAAAATATCTAGTTATTAATTATTACGAAAATCATCTATATATAACACTAATAGAATATAACTATTTCGTAGATATTGCTAATTGTTGTTAGTAATATGATCAGTAAATGTTGTCAACAAAATAATACTAAAAACAAAGCGTGCCTAACCTGTAAGAAGGCGGGTTCTTAGGCCAGAACTGGTAATTAATGACAGAGGGAGGCCAGATCTTATTGAACATATGGTCCACCCAACCTTTTTTGGTAACGTTGCCTTCAGAAACCTCCTTGAAAAGCTTTGTCCCATAGCCTTCGATAGAGTCAGAGTCAAGAGGCTTAGCATAAGCCTCCTTTTCTTTCTGTGGAAGCTCAAAAAACTCCTTCCCAACAGCCTGCAAGTTTCTTATGGCCTCACTAGGGATGTCATGGTTCACAATCTGGTACATGCCCCAGTTGCTGCTGGCCTCAGCAATCTGACGGATGAGCTTTTGCTCATCAGGGTCACTAAAATCAATGGTTGGGACCTCAAGGACCTTACCACGAACGGTCGTGATCCCTGGTTGCTCATTCTCTGACCTAATGAACTCGTCTGGGATAGTGCCCTCGGGTTTTGGGGCAATGACCTCAAATCTCTCTACCCCCATTTTTTTTTGAGAGAGAAATAAAAACCTACAGCCTAAGGGCTGAGAAGACGAGCAAATTAAAACAAAGCGTGTTTAGAGGAATTTGGAGCTTCTTGATTTGTGTCTCACTCCCTTTGCGTGAAGTGTATATTTATATTAGTGGCAAACGGCAGTGACCATTTATTGTGCAAGAAAAAATGGTTTTCAGAAGACGGTAGATATGATGCCATGTAACATGAAGGGGACGTGGCTCATTCTTTTTCGCTTAATAGTTCAACTGCCCCATTTTACAAGACCCATCAAGGATTAAATTAAAAATAAATAAATTTGGGTTGATGTTGTTTTGGTAATGCGACTACAAATCCTCTACTTATAGGACATGTCCAAATTCATACCACGTAGCCACTTTAAGTAAAGTCTAGAGGCTCTCAATTCAAAGTGATAACTACGTCTCTTCATTGTGTAGTTATATTACGTACCTTCTTCTACCCAATATTGGTTTGTGCATCCGAACCAAACCATTAGCTTTAATATCACTTATTACACCCATATTTCAAGTCTACAATATTGTACCGATATGTTTTAAACTTAATTATGAGTGTCTAATCACGAGATTTTATATCAAAAGACCTCAAGAATTCTAAACCTTATATTAAAAATAAAAATAATAGATTTGCAAACTCCATGAATGACTAGGAGAACCGACAGATTAGCTCCAAATCTGGCTCCTTAATTAATTGGTACATCATTTTGCATGTCAAATTTAAAATGAGGAAGATGGAAAAATGAATAAATGGAAAAATGGAAAAAATAAAAATAAGGTTGGTTGACGAAGATCGAGGTACTAAGATGCACCGACCTCCGCAGATGATTACGTATGTTCGCATTAATGTTTGGGGGCATGCGTTTGAGAATACAAACGGCCCACGTCACCAAGTTGATGTCTTTGCATCAAAAGGCACACATCTCCACACATGTGGGTTTTTCTGCACCGTTAGAACCACTAGAAGACTCATAAATTTTTTTGGCGTAGGTGCAATATTGAATAAGTATGAAAACTGATTTTTCAAAATAATTAGTTTTTCAAGATAATTTTTGATGGCTTTTATTCTTTACACATCAAATAAGAAAACTTGATCTTATGGGATTTTAGTATGAAGTATATATTGACTTAATGAGCCATCATTTTTAACCTAAATCGTAAACTTAAGTAAATAGAGTAATATAGAAATAAATGAAAGTAAAAGGACAAAGACATTTACTTAAATGTTGAAAATGGAAATAAAGTAATCTGTACACCAGTTGAGCAAATGGACAATTTGAAGCACATGCAATCACTGGCGGATCTACAGAGGCGCAAGGAGGTGCAGCTGCACCTCCCCTCGCCGGAAAAAGCTTTGAAGTCGCCGGAGTTTGCCCCTCAGCTCTACCTTGGAGGTGCCCACCACCTGTTCGAATAAATGCCTCAGCAACCCAGCGACCATCCTTTTCTTTGTTGCGATGCTGCACTGAGTGCAGTGCGTGTTCTGTTTTTTAAGTCCTGGCCAAACGATGTCGTTTGGGTCAGGCAAAAAAAAAAAATTAAATAGCAAACCTGAAGCCTTATTTCCACAGAACAGATGAGCGTGTTCTTGGAGTCCAAGTAGGAATTAAATGGACCAAGGGATGCCTTGTGTTTAAGTCTTATTCTTCACTCAGCTTTGCGTGCTCCTGAGTCTTTGCTCCAGATCCATCCCTCTTCTCCAAGTTTGAATGTTTTTTTTTCCCATCTTTTTTTCTTCTGGTTTTTTTTCCTTCTAATTTTTTATTTATAATATTTTATAATATGTATTTTAATATTGTTGTTTTTTTTAGAGATATTATTTTTGTTTTCTGATTTGGTTATCTTTGTGTAATCATAAACCCTAACTCCTTTTTTGAATAATTCATGTATTTCTTTTGAGTTTTTAACCTTTTAAATGTTGCCCCTTCCCAGGAAAATTCCTGGATCCGCCGCTGCATGCAATGGTAGGTCCACCACTGGTTAGAACATAAGCTATGGAATTCAGTATTCAATCGTATCTAGTTGAAATCAAGTAGAAATCGATTTTACACGAAGTTAACAAGACGAACACCGATAGATCTAATATAATTACAAAACACACTTTCCTTTTAGAAGTTACATATACACAAATTCAACTGTCAAAGTTAACATATTTGAATGAAAAAGTCGAAACTACTGTTACTATTAACAAAGTCAGGACGATGATGTTTGACGATTAAAAGAGTTAATTACACTAACACGGCCTCAAAATTAAGAAAGAACAAATTTAAGAATGAATGTGAAAGTTGTTGAGAGCCCCCAGAGTGAGAGAAAGCTGGGTATATATGTCGCTTTACTGGGGAATCTTGTTGAGCTTGCAATAACAATAATCTCCGAACTTCTTGGCTTTGTATTTAGGTGGATTGTCCTCCTTCACAAGCTGTGGTAGAGGGCCGACTACGCGGTCTTGTGGTGGCTCAATGAAAACTGGCCACGACATTCTTGTCTTCTCTTTATTCACAGTGCTTCTATGGAGGACACTCTTGTACTTTCCATTGCTCATAATCTACCACAAAGTTATTATATATTTACTTACTATGATTAACGCAAGGATTATCTTAATAATAATATAGATAATATAGAGAGTGAGGCAAGAGAAGGTTCTAACCTCCATCTGATCACCAATGTGGATGACCAGGGCATTAGGGATGTACCTCACATTGTACCATTGGCCATCTCTGCAAGCCTGTAGGCCCTGGACATCGTTTGGGACAAGTATGGTTAGGGCTGACATGTCAGTGTGGGCCACTACTCCAAGAGCAAGGTCAGGGCGGGGACATGGAGGGTAATAATTAATTTTCAGAAGATAAACCATGTCATCCCCTCCAGCAGCCTTCTTCAACTCTTGTCCTTCAAGCCCTAACCCTAAAGAGAGCACCTTGAACAACTTGTCCACCACCTTGTGCAGATGCTTCACATACTCTTCATTTGCTTCCCTGCAACCATCAAAATTAGAACAACCATTATTTCATAATCCACATTAGTTTTTAATTTGTGATATATATTGAAAGATGTCTCAAGTTTGATTATTGTTCTTGTTAATTCAGCCAAAGATTTACGAACTTTTAAGTTTATTATGAATTTTAGTAGATTGGGATCAGCCACGTCTACTTTGTTTTTACATACTTTGTTTTTCTGACGAATTTGTTCAAAAAGCTAGGGATTGCAATGAGCCACGTCTATCCACCTTTTGCTTTCACACTTAATTAGCACCCCCTATGGGTATGGCTTCATATTCATTGAGCACAGCGGAGCCTTTATTTACCTAACAGAAAACAGAATAGAGACCTTTTATTTACCAAAATTAATATAACTTTCAAGTTTGGTCCCAATCAGATATGACTCTCAAGTATGGCCCTATTTTCAACTAATATTCTCTCTTTTTGAACAAAGGCCGGTTTGTGTACAATTGATTTTGGGTTAGGGTTAGGGTCATACTAAAATAGACCTTTACAATTTAAAAATTATAGATAATAATCTATCAATAATATAATGTTTAAGTAAAATTTGTCCATCACTACAAGAAAGTAGTAAGTATTTACGGCGTTCTATTTAGGGCGTATATTGTTGCGCGTCGTAAAAGGATAGTTTTTAAGGCGTGCATTTAGTGTGCGTCGTAAATGACTTTTTTTTTTCAGTATTTTTTATGGCGTGCATGCCCTGTTTTTATGTTATTAATGGCGTGCCAAATATGCACACCGTAAAAAGTAAACAAAATCTAATGCTATTTATGGCGTGCTTTTGATGCACGCTGTAAATGTTACCCTTTCGTGCCGCGCTTTGTTTTTTTCTCCAAATTTAACCCCCAAATGCAAATCCTCTCTCATCTCTTCTCAGACTGCTCCTCTCTCTCTGCTCAACGCTTTCCTTCGACCCTCCACCATTAACAATGGTGAAACTTCCCCTGATACTCATCACCCCACCTTTTCTTCGATCTCAGACTGCAAGCCTCTCTCTCTTGTTTCTCTGGCTCTCTCCTAGCAAATCCCACCGAAACCCTCCCTCTCTTCTTTGCTTTCTTTTCATTATTTTGGTTAAGTGGTGAACATCTGATGAGGCTCTCTAAATTCTCAGTAAAAAAGGAGAAGAGATTGAATGTTCCATTTTTATTTTTCGAATGTTCTCTAATTTGTCTACAGATTTTTATTATTTTGGTTTGTTGTGGATTGTAGGTTCTTTGATTGTGGTTTTTACCATCGATTAAATTTGGTTTTGGGAAAAAGGTTAGGTAAAAAATTATTAAATGTTCTCTTGTATTTTATTTTAGGTTGTTGGTAATTAATAGAAAATCTATGAGTTGGTGGGAGGAATAACAGTTGGCAAGTATATTGAGAATTTAAGCTTGATTGATTTTACTGCTTCCTTTCCTATACAAGATGAGTATTAAGAGAATGGAATTTTTCTTATGCTTGTCAATGTGTTTGGTTGCTGTCTCCATTTTTTTGGCTTTTGGTTTCGCAGGCAGGATGTTTTTGCATAGGGTGTTAGAGATTAAATTTTTTTTGTTATCTTTATGACTGAATGGGTTGGGGGATGTGAACTAATTATATCTTTCTTGTATACTCTTTTACAGGTCAATAAAAAGTGTATATATGTTCTTTTACAGGTCCTATCTTGGGGTCCAATAGCAATGGCACTCATCCATGTTGCAGCTAAAGCCCTTCATACCTCTATTGCATGTGTTCTTATTAGTAATCTTGGAGAATCAATTACAAAACTAGCTCGTGATGCTCTTCTTGCAGAGTATGAGTGATGTCTACTGCTCAGAGACTACGGTTTACGTTCAATATTTTACTAATAAAACTATTCAGAGACTAGGGTTTACGTTCAATATTTTACTGACCACGTCTTTAATAGAGATAAAATCGACTCACATATACTAGAGATGTATCCAACAATATGGTCCATAATTATAATCATACCTAGCATTGCTCAAAACAAATAGTGTGACTAACCTGTAAGAAGGTGGGTTCTTAGGCCAGAACTGGTAGTTAATGGCAGAAGGAGGCCAAACCCTATGGAACAAATGGTCCACCCATCCTTTCTTGCCTTCCAATTCCTTCTGAAGCTTCGTCCCGTACCCTTCCACAGACTTAGAATCTGGAGGCTTCGCATAAACCTCTTTCTCCTCTGGTTGAAGCTCAAAAAATGCCTTCCCAACAGCTTGCAATTTGCTTATGGCCTCATTCGGAATGTCATGGTTCACAATCTGGTACATTCCCCAATTCCTGCTAGCCTCTACAATTTGGTTCAGGATCTTTTCGTCATCTTGGTTGCTGAAATCAATGGTTGGGCACTCCAGGACTTTCCCATGGACGGTTGTGATCCCTGGTTGCTCATGCTCTGACCTAATGAACTCGATTGGGATGTTGTCTTTAGACATTAAAGCAATGTCTTGCACTCTCTCAGCCTCCGATTGCATTTTTATATATTTCTCGATATATCGATCACCTGAGAAAAACAAAAGAGATAGATAATGTGGTGAAGGGTTTGATCTTGGCTTTTGTCTCAGCTCAAACCCTTGGCATGAAGCATGCATTTATATTTGGGGTGTGGCAACAAATTAACCATTTCTTGTACGTGAAGAAATTTTCATAAATATGGTGTGTACGTGGCTCGTTGCTGTTCGCTAGCTAAATAGTTGAACTGCACTTTTCCCCATGGCCAAATGAAAAATAGTGTTGCTATTTTTACTGCTGCCATCTCCACCCACAAATTTTCTTTTGAACTCTCTCAATACAAGAGGAGATTAAGACTATTTTAATCAACTCACTCATTAGCATTCCTAATATAAGCACAAAATCTAAACCCTACATTCTTTTTGTTAATTTCAATGGCAGAGCAGTGTGGCTATGATCTAGGGCAGTGGCCTGATTGAGAGGGGCACAATACTTGATGGGGGACACTTGATCTTGTTCGTTTGTTGACATAATGTTAGAGGAAATTTGGGGGATTTTACGTGCTGGTCCCTCTCCTAATTGCAAATGACCTATTAGTATACTGGTTTGGAGTAATTGCTCTCTGAGGTAATGTCGTAGGTTCGAATCCTAGCATCTATGTAGTGTGTGTGAATTTAATATGTTATCGCCCTTCTCTCAATAGGAAAGGTCTTCAAAATTAAAAAAAATTTTAAAAAAATTTAAAAATAAAATCATGCCAATTTATTACAACTACACGTAACCCATAAAGAACCCAATTAACTACAAGTCAACCAAAAATCAGATAGTACAAGAGAAAACAACTATTCAGATGAGCCCCAGAACCTTGAATTAGTTCATCTTTTATACACTCTGAATTTCAACCTAAATATTGGGTCTTCCAATAATATTATAGGACTCTCAAAATGTGAATATAAGATAGCAGTTTTTCTTTTTCTTTAGAAATAAATTTAGAGAATAAGATTTATTATCTTTATAACCAAAAGAAATTAAACGATGGTAGAATCGTAGCAATACCTTGTGCAGAGGTGATCTAGAAGGCACTGGATTTAAGCAGTAAAGTTGGCAAGAGCTTTTCTTTGGTTGTTGAGAAGTCTTTTTCTGAATGAATCACAAGTTTATGAAAGTGACAAAGGGACCACAGATATAATACCTCCGGCATTAAAGAGATCGACAAAATATATAACGACAACAAAGTTTGATATGTCCCAAGCGTTATTAATTAGTACTTATTACCTTTATTCAGAAACTGAAATCGATTCTGAAAAAAGTAAAGAAACTGTAAAAACTATTGATCCGATCTGCCTAGTAATCTAAAAAGAGTGATGTCTTTTGCTAATGTTCTTTCTAAACATCCGTTTGTACCATCAATACTTTTTTGATACAAGCGATAATTTAAATGATTCTAAATTAACCTAATTTAAGGATACGATTATGCGAACTTGGATACACTGCCCCGACCAATTGACCTAACGCACATCTGGTTGTGGCGTCACTTCTTAATGTTAGCTCACAAATATTCTCTATTTTTGCTTTTTTTCCCCTTAATTAAGTAATGATGTGATCCGCGGTTTTTCTTAAATGTGATGTGGTCATATCATGCGTTGTGTAACAAAATTGGGATAAGTGCTTTTTTTTACTTTAAAATATCACAAGAAAAAGAATAATAGACAATCAGGTGGTTATTGGTTTAGTGATACTTTCTTTCTTAATCTGTGAAGACAATCAAGAAAATTGAGTTCAAGTTTTAGGTGGCATTTGGTTTGTGGGATTAAGGGTTTAGGAATAGATATTCTACATGCTTTGCGATGAGTTAGCTTTGATCCATGAAATAGGGAATAAGAAACCCATGAGGGCATAGTTATTTATCTAGAGTAGATATTAGAATAATTCTAATTCCTGACTTCTTGTGTATGCTTACAAGCACATACAAAATCAAAAAGTAGATGAATTCCACAACGCAGTCCATAATCCAATACGTGAAAATCCAATAATTAACCTATTCATTCTCTCCCTTACACCAAACACCAAACAGCCTATACCTTATGATTTAGTCCGCCTACCATGGCGGAGACGCACAACAATCATAATCAGAGTTACTTTACTTATCATTGTCGACACAAACATCATATTTCTGTGTTTGGGCAAAAAAGAAAAATAATTGAAGGGTGGTTGAATGATTTACGTGGACAGGAAATGGAGAGGCAATAAATTGAGGAATTACTGATCACATGCATGACATGAGCTTATCCTCATAACTTGTATCGAGAAGGTTCAGAAATGACCCAATACTCAAGAGACACCTCAATGTACTGCTTCTTGCCTTCCATCCCTGTCTAGAAGGACCCTGGACATCCCACGAGTACTAGGAAGCATCTAGGCATTTGCTATTGCCCAAACTAAATGCAAACCTACCTCACACCTTTCCCCACCCTAAACCATGGCTATCCTTCTCATCCCTTTCCTCTTTCTATTATACAGTGCTAGCATTAGTTATAGCCATTTACTCAAGGATGACCGAAGACCCTGTCTATAGCCTTGAATTGGGTTATGAGATACCAGAATTTGTCCTTTTAAAATCTATTATAAAGGTATTAAAAGCTTAACGGGAATGGAGATGGAAATGGCATATCCATCCCCGATTCGACCCATTGCATAGTTCCTCCTCCGTTGGGGTGAGGTCTTATATGTTTGTTTAAGACCAGTTGTTTCGGGGCAATATTTGTTTCTACGTTCTTTGGACCCAGTCGTTTTACAGCTTTTCGGGCTTGCTTTTCAATGAGGATAGCTGTATACCAAAAAGCTTGCATTCGGGATTTGCTTGTGAATCGTGATCTAATTCTAAATCATATTGCAAAATTTGACTTGCAGATCACTTGTCTACTGATATATTGGTAGTGTTTGTGAAAAATCCCTCACCCTTTTAGTTTAAACTCGCTTGTATTCTTTTTATAAAAAAAGAAAAAAAGAAAAAACATATTGCAGAATTTCCCTCCATGGGTATTGCAAATAGGAAAGAAAACTGAATCGGCCATCTTTCAATCATAAATCTAAATCTACTACAAACATATCAAAACGGTACGACATTTTCAAAGAGAAACGATGAGAAAAAAGATAGGTGGATTGTGTTAAAACCAAATATTATTCTCCTAGAATTAATGGCCATGGCAGCACTGAATCAAATCACAGCACCGTTGTGTTAAGGTGCCAATACCATGACGCTGGCCATGCAAATCAAGACTAGCATAGCACAAAGTATGGCAGCCATGGAAACAATTAGAGCTCACAAATATGAAACACTGCAAATGAGTACGTATTTTCAGAATCTGTAGTGTGGAAAGAAAGTAGTAAAAACAGCACAAAATTACGCATGTCGACCAACATTCGTTAACTTTAACCATAGGGTTGAGTTAAATATGATCATTGGCCATGAGAACCCACCAGGTCATGGGATAAGTTAAATATGATCATCGGTCATGAGAACCCACCAGGTCATGGGATTACATGACTCGGATCACAACAATAAAATCTAAAAGATTCACATCCTTGAAATTATATCATCATAGCTCTCTTACAGCATTTATACAGATAAACAGCCACATTTAAATTGGAAAAAAATGAAAATTAAACAGCCAGATGAGTACTAAAGTAGAAGCATCAGAAGATGGCAAATGCAGTCGATTATTGCATATAATAGTTTTTCTCTTCCCTGTCCATGCCCACTATATGATATATGTGCATTAAATGTACTAAATAACCACTCCTAAACTTGAAACCAACCATTTCGACGCACAATGACAGATACACAATATGCTCTTCCCCCTTTAACCGCAGCAGGAACCACAGGCAGGTAGAGAACCTGAGAGTTGAACAGAAGCAATTTTAGCGGAGATTTAAAATAAATAAATAACAAAAAAAAAAAAGGATTACAAACATTTAATGGAGGGAGAAGTGGACTTACTATGGTCAATTCCACGAACATTGTCTAGTCCACGAGGTGGTCCACGTGGACGACCACCATATGGTCCCCCTCCAGGGCCTCCGGGGCCACCACCATCCCATTTCTTTCCAGAAGCTAATCCTTTTCTGTAAGCATCCGACTTTTCCATCTAGGCCATGAAAGTATTGACAACATAAGTTTTTCGTAGACAAATTAATTTGATACTTCCAAAAGTAAGTGATCAAGATACAGAGAGACTCTCTTTATTACCGAGAACATTGTAGCAAAAAACACGCCTATGAGGTTGACAATGGCCCAAAAGAAGTCGGTTATTGTCTTGAGTCGCCAAATGGATCGCTTGGATTTCACAACACCTAAAAGAGTAAGTATGCAAATTACCAATTGATCAGCTCCACTGATGATAATACTCACAAGGAAGGAAAGTATGAACATTATAATTTTGCTTAAACCACCAGTTCAACTCAACAAATTCATCTAGAAACAAATGTCCATAACTGTAAATGGCTAATTTAGTCCACATGCCACCACCTAATAATGCCAAAAGCATCTTTAATTGTACAGTGTCCCAAAAAAACTTACTAACCCCAGTCTCAGCAGAAGATCATGCATTAAAACAAATACAATTTCAGTTTCAGAAGACTGGCCTATATAAAATCATCAATGCCCTTCGAACCCTGCTTTCTCATCATTACTTATATATGACCAACTTACCAGAGATTAGATTCAGGTATTCAAAAGGAGAAGGTGCTATAGCGATAAATTAGTAGAACCAACTGAGCTTGCAACTAACCAAGCAACATAGATCATTCAACGAGCAAAGTCACACTACTTAAGATACATGTAAGCATCAATGTTTCCAAGTGAACATATTCTCATCAACACTATATGACCAACTTACTAGAGATTAGATTCAGGTATTCAACAGGAGAAGGGGCTACTTAGCCCTAAATTAGTAGAAGAAACTGAGCTTGCAACTAACAAAGCAACATAGATCACTAAACAAGCAAAGTCACACTAATTAAGGTACATGTAAGCGCCAATATCTCCAAGTGAACATATAAAGAAAACACAACAAAAAAGCTCAATGTAAAGTAGTCTTGGTTTCATTGGAACGAACCTTGGAATAGAATGGATTGTATTATATACCCAATGTCCTGTCCCAAAAAATAACACATAATCCCAATTATATTCCTTGCTAATGTTCAATTTCCGTGCCTTACCCGCTAAATCTCTTCACATTTCATTCCTTTCGCAAGTTCATTCCAGAAACCAAACAGTACCCAAAGCAGAAATATAGCATGAAGATGCAAAAGCAACATAACAGAACAGAAAGAAAAAAATATTATTCAGTCCTCTCAATCCACCATGATACATAAATAACATGAAAATGAAAAAAAGCTGCATTTAGCCAGCAAAAGCTGGCACAAGCTGTTTATGCTATACAAGTTCTGTCCCATCTAATTGCTAATTAAGCTAGGTAAGCTCGTTAACAATATGAGTAGCGTAAATGTATAAAATTGGAAGGAAAAAAAAATCAAGCCCCTAATTATAACATTGAAAAAATCAGGAATTAAGCAATTGTAAGATAGAAATACATGCGGACCAAAAAGCAAATGTAAACCCAGAATTTACGGTTTATTTGATGATCAAACCCTAATTCAAAAGAAATTCATGACCGATCGGATAATACAAGAAAAAAAGAGAGGAAAAAATAGCTCAAAAATCAAACCCTAGCTTCTGAAACCAATTCAGGCTACCCAACATTCGTCACATGAATTTACGAAATTACGAAAACAGAGGCAGAGAGAGAGAGAGAGAAAAACCTCGCTCAACGTACGCCATGGAGATCAGAGTCCAAGCTCGAGAAAGTCTTCGAAGCTTCTTCTTTGATTGAATCCAGCAAATATATAAACAGTTAATTTTTGCCGTAATTAACTTTAGTATTTTACGCGTCATTTCAATTTTCAATGGCTATAACAACGTCAATTTTCCACGTGGCATGATTCTATTGGGTGAAGATCGGGTGTTCGCGACGTGTAACTTGGTCGGGTAAGCCGGATCTGGCGGGTAAGCACTGTTTAAGTTAACGGCCATCTGCTGCCTGGCCCGAAAGAAAATGTGACATACCTGCGCATAGTTTTTTGGGCTTTGCTAAGCCCATGTTTATTTTGGGCTTGATCTGTTGTTCTTAGGCTTCAGCCATATATACTATATTTTCCGACACTTCATTTCAACCCAGTTAGGTCCGACTGATTATTTAAATAATTTTCATATGTTACTTAATATATACATCCATTATCCATATATGTTAGGACTCAAATATTTCACGTTTAAAAAATAGCTTAGTTTTCGATGGTTTAAGAGTTTCTAGCCATTGTAATGGACTCATTAGTGTAGTGGTTTGAACAAGATTGTCTTGAGATTTTGAAGACCCAGAGCAATACCGAAAATAAACCCAACATATTTATAGATGCACTCAACAAAAATATATATTTTTTATTAGCGTATGTATAGGAGTATTTAAAAATAGGAGTTTCACTAAAATACCCAAAATGAGGGCTGAAATTATAAAAATATCAAACACCCAAAACACTTTATAAACATACCCAAAACTCATCATTACACACACTCAAAACCCATTTATAAACATACCCAAAACTCATCATTACACACACTCAAAACCCATTTATAAACATACCCAAAACCCATCATTACACACATACCCAAAACCCATTTTGGGTATGTTTCTATGTTTAAATAGTGTTTGGGTATTTTTATAAATACATATCTAGGATTGGATATTTTTATAAATATCTATTTAAGAAATGGAGCCTTTATAAATATAGAAAAAGTTTATATATCAACCAAAATATCACATTTCTATATATAAGAAAGGATTGAAGACAAACACAAACACCAAAAAAAAAAAAAAACACACAAAGAATTGAAGTAACATCTACAATGCTGGGATTCGAATAAAATTGGGGCCCTCCATTGAGGCTGGTCCAGGGCTGTCGCACTTTCTGTCTTGGCTTAGGGCCGGCTCTGATTTTGAAGCAATTAATCCCCCAGTAAACATCCTTATATGCAAGTTCAATCAAATTTCACATTATTTTTCTTTTCCTTTATTGGGGTTCCACGTGAACGCACTACAAGGCCAGCTGTCCCTGTCTTTAGTTTTTTTTCCTATATTGGGGTGCTTTGGCGTCAAAATGTCAAACCTAACCCTTTCTTCTTCCCTCGAGTAGGGTTTCCCAATTCCTACCCACCACCACTGTCTAGAGCATCTGCACACCTCACGAGGCACCTTCCATGATGAGTCCATCCTTCAGGGGTCGTGGCAAGAAGAAGGGGTTCCCACTGACATTCAAAATCAAGGGATTAATGAAAATTTTATTACATGAAATTGAACTAAAACAATAAAATCTCACTTGTAATGGTGTGTTTTTAGTTCATTGCAATAGAGAGTGCTATGTGATGAATCCTATATTGCAATTGTAATAGGCTAATCATGGAACCCACATGCTAATAAAAAATAGAAAAAAATACAGCAATTAATGCATTATGTTATTAAGAACATCCATAATGGTTATTTAATAGTTCAATGCAATAGAAAAAATACATCAATTAATTTTTTTTCTTCAAATATATTCAAAATTGGTTTAAAGATCTCTTTGAGAAATATTGCAAGTAAAAGAGGAGGAAACCCAATTGTAGAAACCGAAAAAATGAAAGACCCAAATTAAAAAAAACTGTTCAGGTCTGCAAAAATTAGAATAATTCCATGATAAGTACATACATGCTATTTCTTTGTTGACTTACTTTCAAAAAATAAAGCAATTAGTCTATAGAAGTGGACAGCTAGTCTTTCCTAGTAAATATTATGCCATCGTGATTAAGAAAGAGATACTTATTATTGGATTTGTCGACTAAATTGATTAAAATGCGGAGCTTTTGGTGTTGCTTGCAAGTCTTCATCAAAACAGCAAATACTTTCTAGACTACTTGTGTTGTCTTTGCATTTACTATCATGCGAAAAACTCCACAGTTTATTTATTGGTGAACGTTACTCTTCCTTGTCACCATCTCCAACATTTAAATACTTAGGTACCAATCAAAAATTAAACAATTAAAAATAAAAATAAAACCTATAAATTATTTTGTGGAATGTTAGGTGGATATCAACAGTAGATAGGTGCGTGTTTTTTTTTGGGTGGAGCTGCCCTTCTAACAGTAGGGACAACGTTGATCTTATGCACGCGGAAAACGTGAAGCACTATATGCCATGACATAAACATTATATAACCACATTGCACCCCTTACTTCATGTTAAGCCTAAGCCTAGTCCTTCAACATCCAAACAAGAAGAGGGGGACCAAAAAAAAAAACACAAAAGTTATGGAGGTGGAGAGAGTGCAGGCCTTGGCCATCGGCGGGCTGAACGAGCTTCCAGCGAAGTTCGTTCGACCAGCCCACGAGCAGCCTGAGAATAGCAAGGCCCTAGAGGGAGTCACGGTGCCTGTGATCTCCCTTGCTCAGCCTCATGATGTTGTGGTCAAGGAGGTGGCAGAGGCAGCCACTGAATGGGGCTTCTTTCTCATCACTGACCACGGCATACCGTCACCTTTGATCCAGCAATTGCAGAAGGTAGGGCATGAGTTCTTTTTGCTCCCACAGGAGGAGAAAGAGGCCTATGCAAATGACCCTGCCAGTGGGAGGTTTGATGGGTATGGGACTAAGATGACCAAGAACCATGACGAGAAGGTCGAGTGGATCGACTATTTTTTCCATCTGACTGCCCCTCCATCGAAGGTCAACTATGAAATCTGGCCTAAGAACCCTCCATCTTACAGGTACCTCTTCTGTTTTTATTTATTTATTCATCTTACAGGTTCTTTATCGCATGATACGTGCCCGAATTTTTTAATATTTCCTTTTTGCATGTATGGTCAACTGTAGGAGGCTTATAAAGTCTTTTCCTCTTTTCTTTTCGTTTTTTTTTTTTTCTCAAATTAAGAGGGTTTGAAAAAGTCTGTAAAATTTGTGTGACACAGGGAAGTGAATGACCAATACAACAAGGAGATGCTAAGAGTAACAGACAAGTTACTGGAGGTGCTTTCAGAGGGTCTAGGGCTGGAAGCAAAAGTTCTGAAATCTCATGTGGGAAATGAAGAAGTAGAATTGGAAATGAAAATCAACATGTACCCTCCATGCCCACAACCCCAACTGGCCCTAGGAGTTGAGCCTCACACTGACATGTCAGCCCTAACCCTGCTAGTCTCCAATGATGTTCCAGGCCTTCAGCTGTGGAAAGATGACAACTGGGTTGCGGTCAACTACCTGCCAAATGCGGTTTTTGTTCACATTGGTGATCAGATGGAGGTCTTGAGCAATGGCAAGTACAAGAGTGTTCTTCACAGAAGCTTGGTGAACAAGGAACGTATGCGCATGTCGTGGGCTGTTTTCGTTGCTCCTCCGCACAAGGCTGTGATAGGGCCTCTGCCGGAGCTTCTGGACGAGAAAAACCCTGCCAAATACTCAACCAAGACATATGCTGAATACCGACACCGGAAATTCAACAAGCTTCCACAATAGGAGTGATTTATTCCATTTGTGCTCTGTATCAACCATCACAATAAAATTTCTTCAATGGTCTCAATGGTTCATATGTATTGCTGTTTGTTAGAATTTGTGCGTAGTACTTGCATTCTATGAGGGCCTTCACAAAGTCATGTCATGTCAGTTCATTTTCATCATCATCAATCTGTATTGTATCATTTGCTCAAATTGTACCATTTCGTCACAATCTGTTGCAAAAATGTTCCATGAATCAAATTTGAATTGTTTCGAACTTTGAATGGCATTATACTTGCTGTAGCTGTTAAATCCAACAATGACCATCAATAATTGTTTTTTTTTTTATTTTTATAAATTTATTTTTAATTTATTTTTAGGCTTATTATCACAAAACATCCTTGACGTTTGCGAAATTATCACATTGCATCCCTAACGTTTTTTTATATCATTAATGATCCCTAACGTTAACACATGTACTCTTAAATAGTCCCTCTGTCAAAAAAACCGTTAAATCCAAGGGTATAATCGTCAAATCAATCTAAAACTATAAAAAAAATTCCTTCCCTTCTCTCTTTCTTTTCTTCTTCTTTCTTCTTTCTCTCCTCCTGGCCCCGCTCACTCTTCTTCTTTCTTTCTTTTTTCCTTCCCTTCTCTCTCTCTCTCTCTCTCTCTCTCTCTCTCT